TTGTGAGGCACATGTTACAAAGACGTACCATTGACTCTTCACTATTTGTAAGAAAAAGTATAATTTTTCCTGGTAGTGATCAAGAAGGTATTTCCAAACTGAAGGCTGCCTTACATAAAAGATTTGATATAAAAGATCATGAGGTTTTTAAATAACTTTTGAGAATAGAGGTGTGACTTATTCAGATAAGAGTATTTTTCTTAATTATCAAAAATGCCTGATAGACCTAATGGAAACTGAAAATTTTGGAGTAAAACCTTTTGAGACATCAACAAATAGTGGAAGTAAATATTTCTCTAAAAGAAGCATTTCAAAGAATTGTTATCTTAAATAATTAATATCTACAACAAGAAATTTTACACGACATGTTCATTGTAAAAACTTAGGAATGATGTAGCAAATAAATGAATTGAAAAGAAAAGTATGATCTTGGAATAGTATCAAAAAACTGTATAATTCACAATGCAATATTCAACCAAAAATAAATATTGTGAAAATTCAATTTAATTTTTTGTAAACTCAATTCTATACTATAGAAGGGTTTATTATTTCAATGATATATTTTCATTTTAATTGAACCGTCATGCATTACGTTGGTATTGAATCATATGACTTGCTGCGTCTTTTATGGATCTTTAATCAATAATATACACTCAGTTCCCAAGAAATCATCACATTGTCACCGTACACGCACCAGTACATCACGTAAATTCAGATCTAAGTCATTTAATGGGATTCCCATCTGAATAAATTATTAATCTATTCTTTCATTTGACTATATAATTTCACTTCTCATCTGTTCATTCAAGTCACTCCCAGTTCAATAGAAGCATAAAAATGTCTAAGTTCAAGGCAATTTCTTGGATGCATTTTCTTGCATTGATCATAGAATTGATGTCATCTCCTTCTGGAGCATTAGCATACAATGTGGTTAGTTTTGGAGCCAAAGGGGATGGGAGAACAGACTCAAGCTTAGCATTTCTCCGGGCATGGATGGCAGCGTGTAGCTCGGTTAGACCATCGACATTATCCGTTCCTCGTGGTACATTCTTGATAAGATCAGTCACATTTACTGGTCCATGCAGAAACAGCATTCAGTTTGCAATACTTGGAAAACTTGTAGCCCCTGATAATTATTATGCCATTGGGAACTTGGGATACTGGATTCAGTTTCATAAAGTCAGTAGGTTATCAATTATCGGGGGAACAATCGACGCCAAAGGAGCCCGTTACTGGTCATGTCGAAGACATGGACAAAGTTGCCCTCAAGGAGCAAGGGTGAGTTGCAGATCATTCTCAATCAGTACTAGTGCTTTATGTCTATAATAATTTCGGGATATGCTACATATACATCAAGATTTACATAATGTTACGTATCACTCTACAATTTGTCAATTTAAGTCACAGACAGCTTTTTCATCCAATTATTTCCCTCCATATCATTTTCTGTCACTGCTTCTGGCCGATTTTTCTATACACGCAGCAAAATCCGATAATTTTTACGTGTTAACTCCATTTATTCACAATATTCCTTTAATTTGAATGCAGTCGATATCGTTGCAGTGGTGCAACAATGTACTTGTTCATGGTTTGACATCGTATAACAGTCAGATAATGAATATTGCCATTAACCATAGCAATAAAGTGAAGATACAAAATTTGAAAATAATTGCGCCGAGTGGAAGCCCCAACACTGATGGCATTCATATCGAGTACTCAATGGGTGTGACAATCAAAGACAGTATTATTAAAACAGGAGATGACTGCATATCACTTGGTCAGGGCTCCATGAACGTGTGGATTGAGAAAATTGGATGTGGCCCTGGACATGGCATCAGGTAAACAAGACTATTCTAAGAGCCTAGAAAGTGATGTCAATCTGGCATGACCTCTTCGACCCATAAACCCGTCGCACTCGAGGATGGGCTTACATAGTTGGGTGTCATTCATGGGTCAGACGGTCATTGTCCGCTCCAGAAACAAGCTGGTTGCCACCGAGTCTGGCAGCCTAGCCTATTTTGACATCACTAAGTTTATGACTCTTGTTTGACTCTCTTTACTTCAATACTATTTCTGATATTCATTTTTAACCACATATTCACGTAATAAAATATTTTGCATGTAAACTCAAATTCTTCCACACCTTTTAACAATAAATTCTTCAAAAAATAGCTATTCAAAGCATCATTTTTCCCTAACTTCAACTCCTTATCATTAATTCTATCTATTGTCTCAAAGTGTTGGCAGCTTAGGTAACAGTTTCAATGAAGGTGGAGTCCAAAATGTGACTGTGACGAATTCTGTTTTCACAAAGACACAAAATGGTGTGAGACTGAAGTCATGGGCTAGGCCTAGTGGTGGCTATGCAAGGAACATTGTCTTTAGAAATCTCGTCATGAGGAATGTTGGCAATCCTATTATCATCGATCAAAAGTATTGCCCAAATAATATATGTCCTCGTCAGGTACAAAAAACGTAGTAAGCTCGTTTGTTCATTATATTATCCAATCTCATCGTTTACTGATTAGTTAGACATGTAAATGTGGTCACCTAGTGTGTTCAACATACACGCATGTGAACGCGCTAAATCGACTTTAATTTTGATGCAAAATTTCTATATTGATTGCAGAATTCTGGAGTTAGAATTAGTCAAGTGACATTCAAAAACATTAAAGGAACATCATCTACACAGGCAGCAATGACATTTCGATGCAGTTCGAGCAATCCATGCTCTGGAATCACACTGCAAGACATAAAGCTTACATACATAAATCGCTTGAGAAGACCAACACTAGCATATTGTGAAAATGCAATAGGATCCAGCAATGGCAAAGTTTTTCCCAGAAGTTGCTTGTGAAAAAAAAAATGATTTTACACACGAGGGATGTTTGGAAAACAAATATGATATGTTTGGCAAGTTTGACATATATAGTAGGGGACTTAAATAGAAAAATAAGACAAAATTTAGTACTACATACCAAACACCTCAGTCACTTGTAAATTTCTGAACTTTCTTGTTTTACACGAAGGCGTATGAGGAGATGCTCTTATTGTTAGTTTCAATATTACTGGATTGTCAAAAGATGTCTCATTTTGTTGACCACTCATCTTGTTAATTGTTACATTTTATTTTTGTCCTCGTATTTGACACATTATAACAAGTTCAATATCTTTTATCGACAAATAAAATGGACATAAAAATAAATAAATAAAAGAGTATTTTTAAAACTCACTCACTTGTCTTGTCCAATTATGTGAATTCATCTAAGACGTTGAGTCCATGTTTGATAAAAATTAAAATTTAGATTTTAATCTAAGTCAAAATCAAATTCAACAATTAATTTTAATTATATATTTTATATGACCCACAACTTTTAACCACATATTTTATTACTTTCTATCAAAATTTACTAAAAATTTATGGCTAAAATATGAATATTGAGTATTATAGTCATATGTGTACTTTGGGTCAACAAAAAGATGCTAAAACAAAGTGAGCCACCCTTTGTATATCAAGCATGATAGCCCCCTCACATGAGAGGATCCCGAGATCAACATGGGATCACCTCATGTGAAGGGACTGTAAGTGTACAGTCCTGTGTTGATTATATACACTTAAATAAATCCAAAGTAGATATCATATACAAATATTTAACTATTGATTGAAACATTGAAGTTGTAGTCAACAAATTATCCGGACAAAAAGTCGTGTATAATTGTTAGAACATTAACCACTTGAAGTAAATGAACTCAAGAAATAAGTTAAATCAAATAAATTTGAAAAAATATTATATACTGATTTGAAAGAGAAATATTAGCTTTGACAAATAGCTTGTTCTTATATTTATACAAATTTTGCATAAGCAAAAAATTAAAATAATATTTTACTTTGTTTTAATTTGTTTTATTGCCAATTTGTATGTTATTGATGATGCCATAGAAATCAAATGTGGTTCACACGCAACAGTACAAAGTGCTAATTTGGTACGATAGAAGAAATATTATAATAGAAATGTCGTCGAGGAAAAAATTAATATAATTATGACATGTGAAGTAATTCTGATAGTGGTTATGTTTGAAAATCAAAATTAGTGAAAAATTAATTTAAATTTGCATAGAGACTCAATTAAATTTTACGACAGGTTTTGTTATTTCAATAAATAAATTCCAACTTTTTTCTTGATTATTTATTTATTTATTTATTTATTTATTTTCCTTTTCTTCATTATTATTTTTTAATTTTAAGAATTCCATTTATTTTCTTTTGAATTGAACATTCATGCAATATGGTGTTGATAACGTAGTTGGGGACCATGAACTTGTTCTTTTGTTTCAGTCCAATAGATTTTTCATGGATCAGCACAGCCTAGCACAGTGCCAGGATTATTTTGATTTTCCCCGAACTTAAATTAAAAGATTCTTATAATACTCCCACGAGAAAAATCGAACTAAAAATTATTTTTATGCGCTAAATTAATTTTTTTTTTAAATTAGAAAATAGATATCGAATAACCTTTCATCTAACATGATTCAAGCTCATGCTCAAATACTTCAATATTTTTCTAAAATCTCTTAATTTTTTAATTATTGGGAAATTTACGAACGTTAAAGAATAGCAGCTATTCGGACTGTGAAAAACCTCAATTTAACCAAGGTGAAGTCAATGGGTTGGTTTGTGGTTCAATATACAAACGAGTTCCAATCTAATACAATTAAGAGTATTTCCCAAAAAACTCTTTTATAGAGTATTTTGTGTATAGTAAAGAGTATATTTAACTTCAGAGAGTAAATTTTTATTGCACATTTCACCAATGCTTTTTATTTTAGATCTTCATTTTGTTTTTAACAAAAAACATATAATAATTTTCTCTTTTTCTTTTATTTAACATTTTTTTTATAGGTCAATAATCAAACAAATCAAATATAGTTTGAATAATTTAAGAGTTAGAGAATTGAAATGTGTGATTTATTAAATGCATAATTATAATGAAAGAATAGAAATTAGTTTTATCCTCATAACTCATATTAAGGGTAGAACTTTTCCAGAAATCGATGGAATCGGACGGAAACCAAATAGAACCAGTCGGTTTGATTCCAATTCCTCTACTAAATAGGTCGACTTTGGAACCATAGATTGCGAACCAATTAATTCCGATCCAATTCTCGATTCTGCCTTGAGAACCAATAGTGCATTTGGTTCTTCCGAATTTCTCTTTTTTACTTGCATCAAGATGCACTATATTTTTTAACAATAGACCCATAATTATGTGTCATGTTAAAATTTCATTTTCCTTATGTTTCGTCTTCCCTTTAATGAATAATTAAAATTCAATTTTTAATAATGTTATAAATACTTTACAGATTAATAACTTTAATGCAACCCAATAAGAAAAAATATATATTTTTAGTTCAATATTTTATTATAATTCAAATTTCTCATTGTTTTCAAAGTGACTGATCATCAAGAATCAAGATCTTTAAGAATTAATAAAAATAATCAGATTATTATTATATGAATTTCCTTAAGAATTGATTTTCATTTGAAATTTTACCGCTTATACTGTGTTTAATTGTGCATCATTTTTTATGGTTTTTGTGAGTTGATTTTGAGCTTTGAATTGGATTTTTAATTGTAGCCATGTTATTGATTTTTTATATTGTTTGATTATAAGAAGGACAAATGATTTTATATTTTATTTTTATCTATTTTCAAATTGACTAGTAGTTTTATATTTTATATTTTTTCCCCTTGCTCCAGCACTTTGAACCGTGTGACATTCTGATACTACAGGTTATTTGTTTTAACAAAATTCTCTTTATTTGCCACATGATATTATTCAGATAAAAAAAGGAGACAAGTGAAAAGGTTGAAGTATGACGAAAAATTTGACGATTGACTAAGTTTTCACTGTATGAACAATTGTAAGATCATAAAGAATTTTACTCTCCTAAACTTCCAAGTATTGTAGGAAAAATAATACCCTAAACTTTACCGCACTTACCAATTTTTATTATTTAGCCTTTGCTTGATCTCCATTTTTGGGGTAAAATGCATTATGGAATAATGATGTTTTTGGAGAATGTGTGGCTAAAAAGTAAAGAGAAAATTTTGAAATATGTATATTTTTATTTTATGAAAGAATGTGCGTTTAAAAATGAAATTTGAAAAATGCATTCTAAAAAATAATGGGGCTCAAACAGGAGCATAATCAATACATAAAAGAGAGCAAGAAAAATCAAGATGTTACACTTATAATATTGAATAATGCTACTTGTACATAAAGAATTATAAAAAAAAAAAAAATTACATATAAATGAGATGTCAAGAAGAGGGTGAAAAAGAAATTTTTTTTTTTTTTTATTTGATTGAGGAAATTTTATCTCAATCATATCTTATCACATCATGTGTATGTACACCAATTTGTAAGTAGTGATGTATATGTAGACCAACCAATTTTTTCTCACAGAATTCTCTAATTATGTCGCACAAAAAATGGAAAATACGACTATATATATAAATAAAATACGTGCAAGGGACCCTTATGGGGTGGTCGAGTTTGTGGAGTAGGTAAACGCGGAGACCTTTAGTCATGAATTCGATTTTCCATACCAACACTTTCTCGGTCGAGCCTGTCGCACCAAACTTGCCTAGTACGATTTTACCTGGCTGACGTGGTTCGCAAGCTATTACGTCAACCCAAGGGTTTATCTAGTGTACACCCGAAGGGTAGTGGCTGCAGGTTCCCCTTCATAAAAAAAAAAAAAAACAAAAAAAAAGAGCCCCCCAAAAAAAAAAAAAAAAAAAAAAAAAAAAAAAGAACATGCAAGGACCCAAAAAATTTCTTCAATTCGTTTAATCAATGGAGCTGCCCATTTGAATTATTTTCGCACTATGTAACTGCAAAAGAAATCCATAGGCAAAAGGCATTTATATGGTGTTTGAAACTCATTTTTATGGAAAAATGAATTTTAGAGTAGTAGGTTGATGGAGAACGGTCGATGAAAATTAAGGAAAAGTTTTTTATTTACGTATAATATTATTTTAATGAAAAAATGTGTGATTATAAAAAAGAGAGAGAAAAATGTATTTCGATAAAACTAAGAATCAAATATGGCCTTCAAATGGTCACATTTTTTTTTATTTTTTATTTTTTGTCTTATTTGTAATACAAGCCCAACTCATAAGTAATTATTTTAATTATAAAATAATTTTTCTTATAAATAATTTATTTAGTTTATGTAGTTTTATTTACAAGTTAATTTTGAATAAAATAAATTGGTTGAAAATAATTATTAATTTTGAATAAAATAAGTTGGCTGAAAATAATTATTTTATAAAAGGTAAAATGGAAAAACAAAAATATGAGAAACGGTCAAAATTTACCGATTTGGTGGGTTGAGAAGAAGGGTCAAAATTGCAATAGACCCATTTTTTGGGGATTTTTAAATTGTCCAAAACAATAGAAAGCACAATTTTTCCAACTGCTTATAAATGTTATCACCCAAAATCGGTGAAAAAAAACTCCTAATCATGTTAAAGTTTAGTATTGGCGAATGAAGTTACTCATTTAATATTATTATTATATTGCAAAAATTTATTATCAATATTATTCTACTGGATGGTGACACTTGTACTTTAGTATATCGGTGTTGCTACGTATACTTTACAATTTACATATTGGTGTATATACAAAAAATGTGGTTACCAAATTTATTTAACCAATAAATAAATTTTACTCTCTTATTGACACTTCATCCATCTGCAAAATTTTATATAATTCATTACGTACAAGTAACATTATTAAAAAAAGTTGAACCTTAACCTTGAGGGCCCCCATCGCCCTGTCCCTGAGCTTTGTGAATGAGGTAAATCCGGGATGTACCACAGCAAGTCAGGGAACAAGAACTGTCTGCACACTGCGCCTACAAGAAGTGTAATTCATGTCTCAGGAATCGAACTCTCACACTACGGCTACCAGCAAGGCGTGAGATAACTTCACTCCTATCCTTTATACCACTACGCTATACCCCGAGAGGTACAAGTAACATTATTCTTACTTATATATACCGTAGTTTCATTAATAGTCTT